CAATAAATGACCAAAAGGATAATCTGTCTTTTCCTCAAATCATGTTTCCCTTCCCATTCAGAAAACGAACGTCCGATATTTTCTGGGTCTCATGACATGCAGCTCCCCTCACAAGTGTTCAATTCGTATGTTTTTGGTATCGTCAGTTATCCTTGCTAGCCCAGCTGGGCGCTATCTCTTTGGTACATTGTCCACCTGACACATCCTGTGTAAATCCTCATGGCCCATAGTTCTCAATCATACCCCAAGTTCCTTAGCTCCTGGAGAAATAGGAGTAACATGAACTGATGTCAAGAAGGCTGTGTGTCCTTCGTGGGAAGACTGTGTAGCCCACTTCTGGTCCACATTCTACAGCAGACCCTGGCTGGTTTGGCACCCGAAGGACCTTGGCAGAGGCTGGGGTGGGCTGGGCCTTCTCATCACACTTCAGTGTTTATGTAACATGTGTCTCCATAAAGCCCTGATGGAGGGTTCTAAATCCTTTCATACTGCCAGCAGTGCTTCTCCCAAAATACAAGTCAGGGTGTTGCCTCCTCAGAAACCTGCAAGGGTTCCCCAATGCCTATGACACAAAAGGCCTCATGACGGGGAGCCAGGCTACTCTCATATGTTTAACTCCAGCTATGCCACTCCAAGGACCCCATGCTCCAGCCACACCAAGCCACTTCCTGTGGCCTGAGCACTTTGTCTGTTTCCTTCATTGGGTAGAATGGTGAAGGGGTTAATAAAATGGGCTTGGAAGCTAAACTGCCTGGGTTCGAATCTCCCCAGTTAGGTAAGACTTACTTTCTTTATTAGACTTTACATCTGTGACTCAGCTTCTTCATCTGTAACATGGGGGAAAGAGTGATTCCTGCTCATGGGTTGCAGGTAGGATTCAGTGAGTTCATAGCCATGACCCTCTTGGAATGATGCCTGGTACCCGGTGAACAAAACAGGGTACGTAGCATTATCAGTAGGGAATTCCCCTCCTCACCCAGGGCTCAGGTAATGAAACCTCCTTCATGAACCAGGCTCAGCCTCCCAACCAGAGGTGATGTCCACTCTCTCTGCTCTCACAGCCCATGCTAGTAGATCTCCAAGCTGTTCCTACTCTATTTTACTGTACATCTCCTCCATTAAACTGTGAACATTTTGAAGACAGGGACCTACTCTAAGGAATCTTACTCTACACCCCTTGAAGACCTTCCACAACACCCTGAATCCAGTAGGCTCTCACTGAGCATTTGCTGGATGAGAATTAATCTGAGAAAAGGAATAGACGCAGACAGATGAAATGCACGTTCTGTGTGGGTTCCATGTGAAGACACTGTGTGAGAGCCCAGGCGTTGCCTCTATACTGTCTATCCACTGGAGAAATACATTCAGTATCCAAACAGCAGTTGAGAATGCAGCGACTTGAAGATGGCTGCAGAAAGAACAGAGTGTGATTATGAGCTGCGCAGGGATTTAGAGAGGGAATCCATGAATCGCCTTCAATTGTAGTCAAAATGGTGTCCAGTGTGCTTTATTTTTCCCTAGAGAGGCTTTCTAGAGCACTTTCATTGGATGTTCAATGGGGTCTGTGAGACCCCCCCCAAATTAAGGCCCTTGACTTTGTTATTTAGAGACAAAGTTCTTGCTCCAAAGGGTCTTATAACTGAAGGAAGACACTGCTATCCTTACAAGGCACAAGCCCACTAGCAAGGGAGAAATGAGCAATGGATGCTTGGTGATTTTAGAGGAAAACTAGGAGAAACTCTTTATATCATTCCATGTTAAGAGACTAACAAGGAAGGTGAATAGAACAACAGGGACCTACGGACCTCCATGGCCCACTCCTCCTTGGGGGCTGTGAAGCCAAAGGTTATCTGTCACAGCACAGGGATCCCTGGCTTAAAGCACAGACATTCACCATTTGGCTGTGAGAGTTGTTTTCTGTCGGGGTGACTAAAAAACATACTGCGTCAGGATCCAGACACACAAAACGAGGCTGTTCACCTAATGATTGTGTAGAGAGCTAAGTGACACTTAAAAATCAGGGTAAGTCTAACACCAGAACAAAGGGGAGACAAAGGCCATTAGTGCAGAGTCCCAGCAGCATTTCCTGCTGGCAGATGGTTTGCAAGAAACCCTCACGCAGGAGCCCGTTTTATTTGCAGAAGCCACAGTGGTCAATTAAAGCCCATCCGAGCCCATTCTGGGCTCTCCCGTTCCTCTTGGTGCTATTCCTATCACTGCCCCATAGGCCACTAAAGCCTGCCCACATTCAGAATGATTGATTCTGCTCCAACAGTAAGCCACAAACTCGTGTTGAAAAACCCACCTCAAATAAGTCATTAGCTTCTTTTATGGATTTTTCAGGTCACAAGGAATAGGACCTGGGAGTCCTATCTTCTGTACAGTAGAAAAGGAGTGTTTTAAGAGGTGGGGGGACCTGCAGACACCTCAAGGTACCACATGAGCCCCTCTGCTTCCTCTCAGTCGACAAGAGGGACCTAGCGAAAATAGCCCTGCCAACCTCATCGCCAGTGTCAGGTAGTCAAACCAAAGCAAACCAAACTCATGGAGTCTTCATTCATACACCACAAGTGAAGGGAACTAGTGAGCGGGCTCCGCACCCTGTCTTGGCTCCCACTTCAGAATATGGAGGGCCCCTGAAACGCAGAAAGTCATGGTAACTGAGTGTCTTAGGAGTTTCTGACTTGTCATGGGACAGCTCTTCCAGCTGAGCTGTGATCGAGAGTGGTGTGGCTCATGGGGTAAAGCATCTAGGTGACAACGGTCGTGGCCACAGCCGCAGCCCAAAAGCACCAACACCAGAAACCTGAGTTCTGTAGCTTGGTAAATTTTAGCTCACTGCCTGACCCACGTTTAGCAATTCTGATGTGCCACGGAGCAGACAGCTCCGGCCCAGGATGACTGCCTCCCTCGGTCCCTCTCCGACAGGCAATGAAAGCAAGACCCACTTTGAAAATTCTCCCCCATCATGCAAACTGACATAGGCATGCTTTTCAAAAACCCACAGCCAATCTGTTGATCATTACTTATTTACAAAGGCCTTCGGGCAGAAAGTCCTGTAAAAACCATACTTGATATGGGTATACACTAGCTTTTTCTGCTTGTGGAAAAAAAGTCCCCTCAAGGCTACCTCAAACCATCACTTTCTATTGCACATAAAATGTAGCGTGTAACACTAAAGTATTTAATATATATGGTATAATATATCTACAGGAAAGGCATTTGTGTAGAAGTATGTTACCCTGGATTTGGTAATTTGATGTTTTGCTGAAGGCTACGACTTAAAAAAGCTTCCACCTCGTACAGAAGACCTGTCATCTTGGTACCCAAGAGCCAACAGAATAAAGAAGTACCCTTAAGCAGCAAAACTTTGACACAGCTTTGAAGCATATGAAAACAGTATAACTCCTCAGAATTATTATTACTCAAGATCAAAGAAATGAGCCATACTTTACATAGCAAACAGGGACAAAGAATTGGGCTCCAAAGGTTTCAGATTTTTCAGACTTCTCTTTATTTATTTATTTGCTTCTCTAGATTTAGGCAAAAGAAAGTGCCTGGGCTTTTCTCTACTTTAAATGGATAAAACTATTAGCATTAGATAAGGCGATTACCTAAAGGTGAGTAAAGAGGAAATGAATGCTAGCATGACAACTGGTGTCATAAAAACGAGAAGCTTGGCAGTTGGCACAGTTTTATTCCTCCTTGTAATCTGTGAACAGGCATGTAAATCAGAGACACCCAAGCAAGACTGAGTGAAGGGGAAGGCAGAGAACCGTTAAGGACGCCCTTAGCAGGAAGAGATGGTCATGGGGCTGGGTGAGTCTTCCATGGCAACTTGTGTCCTCAACTGCACGGAGAAGGACTGCCCTGTTTACATCCCAGAGAGGGGGTTGGGGAGGGCCCAGAAGATCGGAAAGTGATGGATAAGTGATGGATAAGTGGGGAGCGAGGGGGAAGCCACCAGTATTTTATTTCAGTAATCAAAGGGAGGGGAGTGGCCAATAGCAATGAAAAGAAGAAAGTAATGGCAAGATGGCAGGTGTTTCCACAGCCGTGACCATTTAGGGAGAGCAGTGCCAATCTGAGATCACCCCTGTTTCATTGAGGTGCTAGAGAGTTAGGATGTTGGAGGCAATAAACCCCGGGATTGACAGATGAGCTGAAGACACAAAAAGGGAAAATGAAAGATGAAGAGGCCAAGAAGAGGCACTTGGAAATACTCTTGAAATTTGGTTTCAGTTGCCATTTCCTAGAAGAAGCTACAGTCAAGATAAAAAGAAGGGAAGGAAGGGAGCGAGGAAGGAAAGGCAAAAAGGAAGTGGGGGTGGGGGAGGAGAGAGAAAAAGGGGAAAAGAAAGAAAGCATGCATACACACTGTATTTCATAATTAATATTGCTTTTAGCCTGAGCAGAACTGGATTACTTTTGAACTTTGCTTTGGCAAGTCCACAGATTATTAGACTTTTTTTATCAGTCAAAATCAATTAACAGAAATTTGATTTCAATCGACAGGATAAAAGGAAGGTAATCTTCAGGTTCATTTTCGATTGTGATGATACATCTCACATATGGCCGTAAGTACAGACAACAGTCCTCAGAGGGACTCCAGCAGAAAGAGACTTGCCGGAGGCGAACTAACCACACAAGTTCCTCTGATTGGTTGCCACCGTCATTAGTGCCACTGCTGTTTAGGAACTACACATAGACAGGACATGGTGACAGCTAAGACTTTAAAGCCTATGTATTTTTCAAACAGCTTTTCAAACTGTTTTTCATGACAGAATTTTTTCGGCTCTATCATTAACTGCTGACAAGCTGACAGAATAAATACTCCAGCCTTTAAGAAGCCATCTAACGATCTTCGTTCCCTCCCCTGCCTCCTGCTCGCTGGGGAGGGGAGGCTGTGTGCCTGGGCAGGGTGGGGAGGGGAGGGGGTGAGGAGAGGAAGGGAAGGAGCTAGAGGGGGATCCCCTGTGGCCCGAGGCCCCTCTCCTTACCTCATCAGCTTGGGCGAGGAGCTGGGTGAGTTCCGCATGCCTCCATTCCGCTGCTTTTTTTTGGGTGACAGCGTTGAGGGCTGCTCATCTTCAACTGGAAATACAGGCAGCTCATGAGATTATGAACAGTTTGAGGGCAGACTGTGCAATACAGGCAAGATATCAAAGGACACACACTCACGGCTCAGTCACTCACTGGGAATTCATGGCTGTCTTTTAGGACCCAATGACAAAGACCAAATGTGTTAGTCAAAGGAGCCAGCTTAGAAAGGTGAACACCTCTTGACACTCCAGCATTTGAACATGCACTTAAAAACAGACTACGATAGTTTGTAAAAACCCTGCCATAAGAAAGAAAAGACATCATGATTTATCTGTATACAAATATATATATATACATATATATGTATATATGTATATAAATGTATATATGTATATTCAATCATTATTCTTAGAGTTAATTTTGGTTACTTAGCTTTGCTGGGTAATGGGTTTTTCCGTAACCAAAATCAGAAATAAAGTTGTGTGTGAAATAGCAGCATAACAGCTGCCAGCCTGCTGCTTCTGCAAATGAACAAACTGAACTGGTTCCTAATCCCTGCAGGCCGGAGGAGGAGCCTTGGAGAGTGGCAAGGGTCTGAGGCCCTAACAGCCAGTGTTTCATCAGTCAGGACTGGGGACACTGGGACATGCTGCCTCAGGAGTCCCCAGCCCACCTCAGCTCTTGTCCCTGCACCTCCCCATAAAGGAGGGCCTGTGGGGCTGCACACAAGGGATCTTTTCTTAACTCATTAGGACCAGGCTGCGAGGTCGGAGAAGAGGGCCGGAAAAGAGCACCCACATGAAGGAGGAAAGGAGGAGGTTGCCATTGAATGATATCTCCGATGATGTGGTGAGGGGCAGGGAGGGAGGGCAGCACAGGGGATTGGAAACCAAAGGCTGTTTTCCAAACGTCTAAACCACACACAGATTGCTAAGCAATACGAAGCTCTGCTCACAAACAACATAGCACATCCTACTGCCTTTGCCCAAAGACACCCACTAATAAGCTTTGGAGATGTATTAGCCTGCATCATGCTTCTTTTTAAGAGAGCTGCTGGGTAATTAGCAGATGCGTACCCAGCCTGTCACCCAAGGGCATCGGCGGCAAAATCCTAGACCTCCTCTCCCCACCCCCACAATTCAGGCTAAAGCTGTAATGTCAAGAAGGAAAAATAGGCTCCTTGGATTCTTAGAGTTGACTGCAACACAGACTGGGAGGAAGCACCCCTGAAACCAGGAATGAACAGCAGTTACCTTAAAGCTAAGAAGAGAAATATTAGCAGGTACGTCAAAAGAAGCGTGACACATGTTAATGGTGCACAAGTTTTAGGTGGGGGAGAGAATGCCATCTCAGCTACTTGACATTATCCAGGAAGACCCGGATCAGCACATGCATTAAATGGCCCTTCCCTGAAAACCCTAAATAAATGTAGTATGTTATGATACATGGTTCCAAAGGGATTATAGTCATCCAACTACCCTCTGAGCCTGCTTCAAAATATCACACTTGGTACACTCCATTATTCTACGGAGTCTGAATTGTCTAAATTCTGGCTGACACAGGGAAAGGATAAGAATGTGTTTCAAGGTGAGAGCTATTCCAAACAAAATGAAGGTGAGAAAGCACCTGTAAATGCCCACAACCCACTCATGCTGCCACCTGCTCTCCCCCCATCCCGTTTACCCCACCCCACCCCCGAGGCCTGTGCTCAGGTTGTGACCATATCAGTCACTTAGGGCTCCAGGCAGGAACTATGTGGCTGGAAGGATATCGCATCTTATCAGAAATGAGTATCCACAGCAAATCACACCGAGACTAAACAGCACTTAAAAGATGAAAGGAAATAAATACAAGCCACATAAATGGTATTGAAAAAAATCACTTAGAGTTGATATGCATCTCTCAGCAAGCAAACAGGCACTCTGAGCTTGACCTGAATTCATCTTCCTTTGATAGGACAGGGGGCCGGCCATCCCAAGCAATAATAGGTAGAAAGGCAGTGAGACTGAGATTGAGAGAGAGGGAGTGAGTGTGTGTGTGTGTGTGTGTGTGTGTACTTTTGCACTTTCTCCATCTTAGGATGGGGTAGAAAGTCTTGCATTGACTCCACCCATAATACAAGGTCATCTTTTAATGTGGACCACTTACCATTGTATTGTGTTCAGGGTGACCTAGATTAGTTGAGTAGCATGCCCAACTAAATAACGTGTGTGCATGTGAGTGGGTCTAGTGGGTTGAAAGTTCTTTTCTTCCCAACCATTATGAGCCTTCTGATGGTCAGAATGAAATATCCAAAAGATCTTTGACCTAACCTAGTCTATTATAGCTAGCTTTAGTCAAGGCCACCAGATGTTGCCATGGCTTTGCCTATATTACTTAAAACTTGAACAGATGTCACACTCACTGGCATTTCTGTTGGATTATTTTGCTTAACTGTTGCTTCCCCCTTTGCACGGGGCCCACAGTAAATAACCCTCTTTGGTTAAGTGCCTGTTTTCCTTGTCCCTGGTCACTGTCTCTTTCTCTGCAGTGATGTTCAGATGCAAGGCTTGCAAGTTAATACCTGTTAGCCAGCTCCAGGGAGACACCCCGTTGTGGTGCTAAAACTATGCCTCCTTCTACACAAGGAAACTATTTATTTTCATTGAAAGTTAGAAAGATCATCCATCATAATCATGCTGCACTTAAACTGGGATTTGTTCTCTTAAATGAAACTCGTTTTCAAAGGTTTCCTTCTGCACTCACAGCCTGGAAATGCAGATCGGTTCCCTGAAGAGACGGGGAAATGTCTCCAGCATCAATATACAAACATTGTTGTGTGATGCAGACTATCACATATGGCTTAGGTCCCACAAGAGAAGCACTGATCACTTCCTTCTCACAAGTAGGATACGAACCATATTTAATTATTATCCTCTGTGTAGCTTCTATCACTTTCCACATATCTAAAGAAAGCAAATCTAGGAAAACTTTTAGTTCAGCTATAGAATATAATTTTCATTTCATGGCTTCTGCGACTACATGAGAGGAGTAAAAATTGAATTAAAAGGGAGACTTAAATGTACTTACTTTCAGGAAAGACAAATGTATTGAAGCCATGGGCCAGGACCTGATGCCAACACATATTCGCAGGTTTGCATTCAGCCTGCTTTGGGGCTAATTACAATTCACCTCTGTCTCCGGCATTCTCACTTGCATCATGCCGTGGAAGCCTCATGAAGATATGATCTTTTCAAGGAACCTGACTTAGCAGCTTCTTTGAAACACAAACAAGTTCAGGAATCTAATGTGGAATTTTTATAGGGGCTGAACTCCATCCAGTCTCCAAGTACTCATAAAATTCAAGGGCATGTTTTTGCACATCCCTAAGTATAACACTTAATGTGCTGTTGTAACTTCCCAGCGCTCGCTTGTCTAATAGGCACTGAATTTAACAGTTTTACAGTTTGGGAAGACTCAGTGTTAGAAAAATGTCAGGCAAGTCTAATGAGGCCTCAGATCCCTTGGTTGGAGCTTAGAGTTTAATTTAAAGTTACAGTGATGTTCTAACATGTTTGCTTATACTTGACTAAAGAGGATTCATTATTTCGATGACATAACCCCCAGACAATGTTCTGGGAATTGATTTAAGATGTGGTGGTAATTCCAACAGCCTTAATGCTGAGTCGAACATCTGTAACAACATTTTACTCAACTTTTCATCGTCATTCTGTTTTCAAGCAAAAGCAAGGCAACATCATCCAGAAACACTGGCCAGAATTCTGGGCTTACTTGAAGATGGTCATATATTTTACTGGGTTTTTTAAAATAGAAATCCCTTTCTTTATTGGCCTAGCCAGCTTGCAAACACTGTATCAAGGCTCACCCATGCCTCTTTGTGGCCCTTTGGAGCAAAATGGGCAATGATTCCAAAGTTCAGCTTTCCCAAATAGTCCAGTGTCCTGACATGTGATGGACCCGCAGCTCGGCTCCAGCCTGGGGCACATTACTTTCTTCCCTGTTTCCTCAATAGGGTTTAGGGGGATGTTGCCCTTTAAGACTTAAAGGTGAGTGTGCTGGCTAGAGTTAAGAAATAGTTCAAAGCAAATAAACTCGGAAACGTAATAAAAGGCAAACAACCCATAAACATGAGTTGACTGGCTATCTTCATTACATTATTAATCACCACATCTGGAGAAACCCACATCTGCACACACTTAGCAGGTCATTAGTAATGTCATATTCACACTGGAATCACTCAGGAGTAAGAGGCATGCAAAGTGGCTTGAACGCAAACGGCATCTCGCTAACAGGGCTTCTGACTGAAGTCTTGAGCGAGCTGCTAGTCTGGGGGTAGGGTCATTTTAATTAGTATTTATCATTTTTTAATGGTTTTTCTCTGTGGTATTTTGCTGCCCAACAAGCTAAGTGCATGCTGAAATCCACAGTAGTGCATCCTTCTTCTTCAACTGAGCTCAGCATGTTAAGGTACAGCATTGAGGGGTGCAGAGAAGTTATTAAAAATTGAGATGGGTTCCAGCACTCCGTCACCTGGCTTGGTCACAAGCCGAGAATTGTGAGTTGCGTTCTTGAACCCAAATGGGTCTTTGGGACAACGTGATCTAGCTTCAACCTTGACTGCCGAACAATAACGAGAAAAGAAAATGGAAATTAATCCTTTGTGAAATGCTTCATTAGAAAAGTTGCAAACCAGTTTTAACATTGAATAGAATTACAGCTGTAAATTAAAATGGAAGTTTCTCCCTCACAGCTAAATTGAGGTTTTTGTCTTCTTTTCTTTTACCATGATGACTTCTTAATATTCTTTTTGCTGTGTTATTGTCACTGATGTCAGAAAGGATAATACGTCAGAAGATAATCTTGTTTGTGCAATAATTTCCCAAAACATACAAAGATCCCCTCTGCTCTACAACATACACAGACACAGAAAACCAGTTTAGCAGCAATATGAGACCCATTATCTCCTGCAGCCTGCTAAAATGCATCCCACTAAATAATCATTATATTCCAAGTCATCGACCCGCAATGTTAAGCTATCGTTTTCATCTCAA